TAAAAGATTTATTTATTTTATTGCAAAGTCAGATGTACAGAGAGGAGCAGAGACAGAGAGGAATATCTTCTATCCATTGCTTCGCTCCTCAAGTAGCCACAAATGGCCAGAGCTGAGCCGATCCAAAGCCAGGAGCCAGGAGCTTCTTCTGGGTCTCCCATGCTTTGGGCCATCCTTGATTGCTTTCCCAGGCCATAACCAGGGAGCTGGATGGGAAGAGGAGCAGCTGGGATACAAACCAGCACCCATGTGGGATCCCGGCACAAGCAAGGTGAGGACTTTAGCCATTAAGTTACCATGCTGGACCCTCTTTATTCATTTTAAAGAGAGTGTGGGCAGAGGTGGAAAGAGAGAAAGATAAATAGATGATTGACTGATTGATTGATTGATTGACAGGGAAAGAATCTTTCATATGCTCAGTCATTCCTGAAATGGCCCAATGGCCAGCACTGGGCTGGTCCAAAGCTGGGTCCAAAGCCAAGAGCTTCTTCTGAGTCTCTCATGTGAGTGCAGGGACCCCAATGCCTTGGGCCATCCTCTGCTGCCTTCTGAGGCTATTAGCAGCGAGCTGGTGCTGCAGGGAAGGATTGGTTTGCTACGCCAAGGCACTGGCCCCTATCTAAGTAGCATCTTGACCACTGAACCAAATCAACCCCAAGGAATTTATTTGTTTAGTCATTATTTTCTTTTATTAGACACCTACTATATGCCATGCATTGCAGTGCACGAGAGTGTAGAAATTGGTGTTTGGTAGATTTAAGAACATTTTTGGAGTTTACGAGCTTATTTCACTCATTGTTACGGAGATCCATTTTGTGTAGCTATATGTCATGCTTTCTATGCTTTTCAGGAGGGTAGTATAGCAGGGTCAACTTTCAAACAAAACTAGATTCTGAATCTGTCTTCATATAACTCTGAGTTATATTATTTTGGGTGAGTCCCACAGCTATTTCTGAGAGTGATTAGCTCATCCTAATATGACTGGCTCTTTCCTATTACTAGTCAAAATTCTGTATCCTAGGAATTCCTTTATTCCTAGGTAAAATATAAGAGTGGGTCCCCCACCAGTTCCTGACTAGAGCCGGGATAGGATAGAAGATGAGGAATCTATCAGACATCCACAGGATGGGCCTGTTTTCAGATCTGCATCAATTGCCAGGATGGAAAAACTGCAGTATATCCCCGTACTGTCTCTATTGCTGAGATAGAAATAGCCTGACTCGGCCCATTGCCTGTAAAGGTAGGAACTGAATCAGGGGATAAAAAGAGCCTCTAGAGTGCAGCCCATTCTCAAACTCCGCACGAATAAGATGATGTCTTGAGTCAGGGATTCCCAAGTTCCAAACACCCAGCCATGTTTCCTAAAATGATCCCAGCCACAGTGAAGAACAGGGAGAAACTCTTACAGTGGAAAGTAGTGGGGCAGCCCAGGCAGTCCTCTCCGAGTCTGCTGTGTTGGAGCTGTTGCTCTTTAATGCAAAGCACGTGGCACTGTGAAAGGCAGCCAAAGCCCATATGATTGGTGACAGCAGCATGGCTCTGCTGACCTGCTCCGACACTTTCCAGGGCTGATGCATGGAAACACTCTTGTCATTTATCTGCGGCGTGTTCCAGAGTAGCTTTTGACTAGCTCCTGCCCAGAAAAATGGCAGGGTTCATCTGCAAAGGTGTCGTGTACATCAACCCCATCTCTTGCTTTTTGTGGTTCTGTTAACTTCTTCTGTGAGGGGCTGGGGTACCAGCATTTGTGAGGGAGCTTCATATTTCACTACCTCACTGAAAGCTCTCAAACAAGGAATTTAGTTTCTTAATGAACAAACAGCAAAAATGTATGACACTTTGTTCGTTCTTTCTGCCAGCTCAGGGTTTGTGCATGGAAGTGGCCATACGTTGTCTGGGCAGAATGCTTGTCACAAAATCATGAGTGCTTTACCATCTTTCTCATCTCAAAGACAGGGCATTTCTTAGCAATCTTCAGACTCTTATGATGCTTTCTGCGTTTCACATTCATCAAGGCATTACCGTGCTTAATTAGCAATCTACAATGGACAGCTGTGCTCCAATAAAATGTACATTTGTTTTTATGAATCATAGAGTTCCTGAAATCCCTAGGATTTCCTAAGCACCAGGATTGTCTTCTGTTATTCATAAAGAACACTTTCAACCATACCTGCTCGTGCTAATGAGGAGACTAGGGTTGGAATCCCTAAGTTCGTTCCAAGGTGGGTGCTTGTCATCAGAAAGACCCTGGGAGGGGACAGAAGAAATGAATCACAAAAGCTCCTGAGCTATGGGACTTGGGAGCTTCTAGAAAAGTGATCATACTAGGGCCCGGCGCGGTGGCGCAAGTGGTTAAAGGTCCTCGCCTTGCACGCCCGGGATCCCATATGGGCGCCGGTTCTAATCCTGGCAGCCCCGCTTCCAGCTCCCTGCCTGTGGCCCCGGAAGGCAGTTGAGGATGGCCCAAAGCTTTGGGACCCTGCACCCGTGTGGGAGACCTGGAAGAGGCTCCTGGCTTCGGATCGGCATAGTATCAGCCCGTTGCGCTCACTTGGGGAGTGAATCATCGGACGGAAGATCTTCCTCTCTGTCTCTCCTCTCTCTGTATATCCACCTTTCCAATGAAAAAATAATAAAAATAAATCTTTAAAAAAGAAAAGTGATCATACTGCTGTGCTGGGAGGGCCAGACACCTGGGCATAGTGAGGACACTCTGCTGTGGTCCCGGCTCAGGGCAGCTCTTCCAGTTCTGAGTTACATGTTTCTAAAATGAACTAGTAAATGCAAGCAGAGTGTTTTCCTGAATATTATGAGTCATTCTAGAAAGTCACAGGACTTATTAAGGAGTTCCAGGAACTTCTGTATCTGTAGTCAGCCAGGTAGAAACATAGTGGCTTAGATACTTAGAGTGGGTCAATCTTGTGGGACAGGGGCCTTAACCTCTGGTTACGGTCTATGCCCTACTCCTGTAGCCCACAGTGGAATTGAATTGATAGACACCTTGTTGGTGTCGGAACATTGGAGAACTAGTATAAACTTCTCTCCCTACCTCCTTCTCCCCCAACATCTGGTATTAGCAACCATCCTTCAATAATGCACGACATGCTAAGGACCAAGAAAACCTAGATAAAGTAAAATGTGGGTGCTCATTCAGAGTTTTCCATCAATTGTTGGCAGTTTAAATGCATATGAAAATGATTTCTAATTCAAAGTCAGGTTTGTTTTTTTTTTAAGATTTACTTTTATTATTTTTTATTGGGAAGGCGGATATACAGAGAGGAAGATCTTCCGTCCGATGATTCACTCCCCAAGTGAGCACAATGGCCAATGCTATGCCGATACAAAGCCAGGAGCCTCTTCCAGGTCTCCCACGCGGGTGCAGGGTCCCAAAGCTTTGGGCCGTCCTCGACTGCTTTCCCAGGCCACAGGCAGGGAGCTGGATGGGAAGTGGGGCTGCCGGGATTAGAACCGGCGCCCATATGGGATCCCGGGCGTGCAAGGCGAGGACGTTAACCACTGCGCCACCACACCGGGCCCAAAGTCAGTTTTTAAAACTGAAAAAAATTTTTTGATAAAGAATTATTTTTATTTTTTATTATGTTTACATTGTTGATCAAGATGGGAAAGACTGAGGGTTAGGGGAAAGTGGGTGTGATCATTGTTTTCAAATTTTCCATTTCTTCTTCCTGTATCTGGGAGAAAGGGAGAGACAAGGGGAAAAGCCATACCCAGCCTCCCAACCACTCCTGTACTGGGGGTTGAGGAACTGCCTCCTAATGCCAACCTAGGGTCCTGATGTAGTGCACACTCTGAGGGTTCTGTCCAAGTAGTTTTGATAGTTCTGAAATGTTGTCGATTTCACTGATGGAAGGATTAGGAAACCCTTCCCATGTCCATTGTCTGGCACAGTAGATTTTAGAGTCTTCATTTGCCCGAATTTTTGCTGTCATTTTTTGGCTGGGATAGTTTAATTTTCTCTATTCTCCTTCATTTGCTGTGGCACCAGATGTTCTGTGCAGGTTCCAATGGACTGCCATATCCTCCATGTGTATCTGGGTCTGCTGTCCACTGCTCTGTCTCCCCCACAGAGGAGGACAAGCCCTCTCAGGTGGGCCCAAGGACCCAGGTCAGGCATCTCACACCCCACCGTTCATCCAGCCCCCCAGTGCTCACAGACCTGGCACCCACCACACATGCAGGCTAAAGTACATGAGCCAGGCGACCTGGGCCCCACGAGATCAAAATCAAGAAGTAGAGTACCCCATGAGGGTTCCATTTGATACTCAAATGCCTTTTAGCTTCAATGCAGTCTCACTCTGGGGTCTAGGGCAGGCAGAAACAAGAAGCAAGAGGCAAGACCTATTCAAAATTAACAACAAGGGTTAGGGCTGAGGGGGGATGCTGCGCTGTGCCATACTAGGCTAATCCTCTGCCTGCCAACATCCTATATGGTTTATGGTTGCCTGTGTGATTCCCAGCTGCTCCACTTCTGATCCAGATCCCTACTTATGACCTGGGAAAGCAGTGGAGGATGACTCAAGGCCTTGTGCTTCTGCACCACATGGGACATCCTGTAAAAGCTCTTGGCTTCCAGCTTCCGACTGGCCCAGCTCTGGCTGCTGTGGCTATGTGAGGATAGAAGACTTCTTTCTTTGTCTCTCTTTCCCTTTGTCTCTCTGTAACTCTGGATACCAAGTTAAAAAAAAAAAATCTCAAAAAAAAAAAAAAAAGGATTGGTTCCTGCTATTCCTGTAACATCCGAGGCTTGGTGTAGAGAGAGGACTGCCCTAGTGTTTAGTGTTCATCTGCAAAGCTGGCACAGCTGCAGGAGCTGGTGCTTATGAGTTGCTCATGAAGCATTTGAGATCCCAATGCAAGATAAGTTAGCATTATTTACATGTCCCCTGGGAGATTAGGAAGTCTTAGGACACAGCTCTCAGCAATTTCCTCCCTCCTGACATCTTTTACTCTTTTTTTCCCTTTTCTTCTTGTCCAAGCAGAATGAAGAAACACCACAGAGGAGCTATCTCTAACTGAGGAGACGTTTAAAGATTTCTTGTCCTCCACCTGGAAACACCAGCATCCTGCATGGGTACCCATTCGTGTCTCAGCTGCTCTATTCCACATCCAGTTCTCTGCTTGTGACCTGAGAAAGCAGAAGGAGATGGCCCAATTCCTTGGGTCCCTACAACTGCATGTAAGACATGGAAGAAGCTTCATGGCTCTTGGCTTTGGATTGGCTCAGCTCTGGCTGTTGCAACCATTTGGGGTGTGAACCAACCAGGTGGATCTCTCTGTGTCTCTACTTCTCTCTGTAAATCTGCTTTTCAAGTACAGTAAATCTTAAAAAAAATATTTCTTGTTAATCAGAACATGTTAGTGAGCCCTCTAGATTCCCAAACACATTCATGGCTCCTCAGATGCTAAAGAGCCTTCTGAGCAGGTAGTGTTGCTGCTTGGACAACTCAGGATGAGAAGACTTCCAGGAGAGCCCCTGGTCAGTGTGCCTTCCATCTCAGAGAATGAGTCCTTCCTGGCCCAGAGACTCGCAGGTCTCTGAAGCTCTTGAAAGTGAGCCAGGAAAGATGACGTCTCTATACTGCCCAGGTAGGAAAGGGGTGTAGGGGGAATGTAAGCCATCCCCTCTATTTTAGAATTCAGAAATATGACTTGGTTTGCCTTAGTTATTGTACCTAGGATAGCAGTTGAGCTAAGCTATCTTTACAAGGATTACCAAGTATCTGTTCAGCATTGTTAGGTTACCTCCTTTGTCCATAAACAGAGAATCACTTGCTAGTTGTGAATATGACTCTCAGGGGGTGACCTTCAGAGCAGCCCAGAGGTGCTAAGATGTGAGAAAGAAGGGGTAGGGTTTAAGGGAGTGAGAAAATGTCAACCACAGTTCTTGCATTTCCCTGGAAATATGACAGGGGAGGCACAGCAGTGTCTGCCTGCTCCTGGATACTCTGCCAGGAGCCAGGCATGGTGAGAGATGGACTGTGCTTATTCTAGGGTCTTTATTTATCTATTTGGGCTGCCATAACAGAATATCATGGACTCAGTGGCTTGAGCAACAGAAATGCATTTTCTCAAGATTAATTTCTGAAGATGAGATATTCAAGATCCAAGTGCAAGAAAATTCAATTGCTGGGGAGCATTCTCTGGCTTGCTCACAGCCTCTGCCTTCTTGAACTGTCCTTACGCGGCCTTTCCTCTGTGCCCTGCAGAGGGAGGAAAGCAGTGAGGATGGAAGAGGAGACAGATCCAGTGAGTGAGCTAAAGCAAGGGACAGAGAAAGACAACTCTGGTGGTGCTTCCTGTTAGGACATCAGTTTTTTGTGGGGTCAGGGTGCCATCTTTATGACTCCATTTACCTTTAATGATCTTCTTAAAGGCCCAATCTCCAGATACAGTCACAGGAATTTGCGAGGGGGTGCACAATGCAGTCCATGATAGGTTTTTCATTTGTCTTCATGGAGAGTCTGAAGGGATCATGAAGCAGTTCTTGGCAGTGATGAAAATTTTAGCAAAAACAATGAGTTTACCATTCAAGGTTCTCCTTTTGGTTGAAAAATTTCTCACTTTCAAAAAACACAAAATATTACCTTAAAGGTGTTATCTACATAGGGTGTAAGCAGTCAACACATCCTACATACCCCCCTGGTCTCCCTAGGATGATACCCTTAGGGGAATCGAATGTTCTTCTTCTGGGTACCCATGATCCTCTGTGGGTAGAACTCTCATCCTTGCACTCATAATGTAATTCTACAGTGACCTTTCTACCTAGCTCCTCCCCGGAGTGGGGATCTTCTTGAGAAAAGGCTCCTGCCTCTTCTCACTCATGTTTATTCCCCAGTGCCTTTCTCTGTTCTCTGTTAGCTCTTTGGCACATGTTTGCTGGATGAAATAAGGACCTCCTGAAACTATTGATACTGAGCAGATATAACACCAAGAGAAGGCAGCTAAAAAAGCAGAGTTCCTCATTTGCATGAGGACTTATTTAGTAATTCTGAACTTGAGAATTTTTTTTATTATTTATTTATTTTTTATATTTTTGACAATCTTTACATAGTTAGTTAGGGTAAAAAGTTTCAAGGGTTACAGGAAAGTGGGTAAGATTATTATTTCCATATTATTTCCTTCATGTATCTGAGGTAAAAGGGGATATTGAGGGAAAAGCCCCATCCAGTTTCCCACCCACCCCAAGTCCCAGATGTAGGGTTTGCTCCGAGATACTTGCTCAAGTGGTTTTGATAGTTCACCAGTTATGAATTGCTGTCAGTCTCGCCACTCCGAGCACGATGAGGTCGTTGAAGAATCCACTGATTGACATAATCCATCATAGAGTCTCCATTTGCCCAGTATTTCGCTGCCAACATATAGCTGAGGCGGTTGATTGACTTGTTCTGTCTTCTGTCCTTTTGTTGGTTAGGGTTCTGTGTCTGGCATTTTGATTGGGGAGATCCCCAAAGAAACTTTGAGGTATTTCCAGACCAGATTCTTGTGTGTTCTAGCAAGCACAGGACCCGCCACAGTCCATCGCCCCAATCAGCTGGTGGTTGCCGAGTGTTGGGTTGGTTCTGTTTTCAGCCATGACTTCCACTGTAACTAATGAGTGTTGCAGTCCAGCCTGGTTCTGCCCAGCACATACTCGGCCCTCACATAAACCAGTGGGAGCTGCTCCCCACCAGGCCCGACCCTACCCTAGTTTGCCAGTATGTGTAGCAGACTAGTCCAGTCTGTCCCCCATCCCATTTGGCTCTCGTACATGTCGATGGGTGTTGAAGCTTAGTTCCATCTAACCAGCTCATCCCTAAGCCCTCACGAATGTTATTGGGTGTCTCTCTGTCTAGCCACCCCAGCTCCCGTCATAGTTTTCGTGCCCTCCCATGGGGGTGGTAACTCAAGAGGGAAGAGCCCACTATTTCCCTCACAGGTCTCTCGCACTCCCAGTTTATGCACTCTTCAGGTGGTTCTGTGGTTGGACTTGACAGAATTAGCCCCCAGTACTAGCTTCTACCAACTGATGCTGCAGCTAAGCCTCAACAACCCTCATCCACTCTAATTTATGCTTGCACCAGTAGGAATAATCTGCCCAGCCTGGCTTTTCCCTGATCTAGTCCACATGAGATGCACAGGTGTTGTAGCCCTGCTTAGTCTGGTCTGTCCCCATCCCAGCCCACACTCTCCAGTGGGAGTAGCAGTCTGGCAAGGGAACCACCCCTTATTCCCCCTGCCAGCTCTGCCCCCTCCCTTCCTGGTTCTCATGAGTGCTGGTTGGGAGCTGCGGTCGCATCTGGTACAGACAACCTCACTTTGGCATTCTGTGTTGTGTACTGCTTTTGTCACGACCAAACCTGGTCCGACCCACACTGTGCTCCAGCGTTCGGATTTGCCAGTGGATGATGTGAACTGATTCAGCCTGGTCTGCCCCCGACCCATGCCAAATGTATGCCAGTGGGACACTTTCCATGACCTACTCTGGACTATTTCCTTGCATGCTTCTTGCGCTTACCTGCAGGGACTCTGTCCTGCCAAAGGAGTTGCCTAGGCTCCTCCATCAGAACCCCTCCTAGTGCCAGAATTTGTGCATACCAGTGGGTCCATGAGCCAGCACTACTCAGTTCACCTCCTGTCCTAGCAGGAACAGTGGCTTTTCTTAACTGGCCTTCAACCCATTCTGGTTGAGACCTAGCCTAGTCCATCCCACATCTACCTTGGTTTTCCAGGACACCAGAGGGTGTTGGGGTCTGGCCCGGCCTGGTGCATCCAATCCCAGTCCACATTTGTGCCAAGGGAGACTACAACCGTTTCCTGATTAGGATGCAGCCACCATTTCAGCACATGTGTTCTTTGGCGGGAACCTCAACCCAGTTATGGTGTCCCCTTAGCTCTCCAACCGGGCCTGTTCCTAGCCATAGATCATGCGTATGCTAGTGGTTGTTCTGACTTAGTTTAGGTGATCCCCTCACCTGTCCTGGCCTCTGCCTTAGACACTGTGGCTTAGTGTCCCTGACTCTTGCCGACCAGTAGGTGCAAGAGCCTAACTCAGCATGACTTGTGCTCCATGCTGGTTTCTAGTTTCGTTTGTAGGCTAAGGTTTGCTCAGTCCTGCCCAGTACATCCCGTTCCTTTACCAATTTACACATTGACCAACTGTTGATGCTACTTTGCCCAGCTTGTCTGACCCTCAGGTTTGGACCACATGTTCACCAGCGGGAGCTATGACTCACCAGGGGAGTTTCCCAAGTTCCTCCACTTGATCCACTCCCCATCCCAGTTCTCATACATGCCAATGGATTTTAGGCCAGTGCCTGGTGCAGTCTGGCCTTCCATTTGGCCTTGTATGAGCTGGTGAATGTTGCAGCCCGGCCCTCCCCACACCCTATTCAGGATGCACATTCAGGTGCTGCTGCCCTGACCAGTCCAGACTGTTGTGGGTTCCTTTACCTTTTACTGATGGCAGGCTCCTTGTTCACACCTAGCTTATTCCATCACCACCCAGACTCTTGAGCTAACCAGTGGGGCTAGAATTTCCACAGGGTGTGGCCCACACATCGCCCACAAAATCTACCCCCAGATATGGTTCTCGAGTGCTAGTTAATGCCATGGCCCTGCCTAATGAGACCCATCACCTGCCCCAACCATCATGTCAGATAAAAGGATATCCTGCTGGACAAGCCCTGACCCTTAGTTTTTGTATGAACTGGTGTTGGGTGCTCAGCATTGTTAAGTGATTACAAGTTCTTCAAAGGAAGAGTTACTGTCATTGGGAATCTTTAGGATTGACCCACATCCCAGAAGCACAGTGGGATCAAACTGGAACTACCTAAGCAGCGATTCAAAGAACCAAAACCCCAGAGCTCCCTGGCTGGGCGACCAGCAGGCAGAGCCTGGTGCCAAATGGCGCACTGGCCACCCGGGGACAGCTCACCACGTGCACATAGAGGCTGTCCTCTGGGATCCACGCATGAGACACCCCGTCTTGAGATCCGCAAGCAGCCAGGAAGTTGCTGGAAGTTTAAACCCCCAGGCCCAAGGTTTCGCTCCTCCGCAATCCCATTCACCGCCCAATGAGGGCGGTGGGTGGGTCCCGGACCTACCCAGTTACAAAGATCTCCTCCCTCGATCTACTCACCCCCAAG